GCCCTAAAAGATACAGTAGGAGCTGGTAATTCAGTAAAACCAGTTATTCTGTCCCCACTAAGCACCAGGAAAAAGAGCCAGTTCTTCCTATTTCCCAACCCCTTCTCCTCCAAGTGGAAGGATAACCATGAAAAAAAGCAGATTATACACAAAAATTGAAAAAAAAAAGGCTTGGAAAAAATATTCAAAGTGGTTTTTTTGGGCTGAAAAATGCCTGACAAACATTCATATTCACGATCTTCCTTCACTTTGATTTAAAGCCACCAACATAGCATAACACAACTTACTGTGGCTGATAGAGAAAAAGGTCAATGATATTGTCTCTCCCTTTAGGATGATTAAAAAACACAAACAGAGACCAGTGGATGAGCCATGTTCTTTGCTGTAGAGACTGCAGTGGAGAGCTGACAGACTAAAAAAAAAAAACACATTGGTTTCAGTCAAACAAAGCACAGAAAGTTTGCATGAATACTAACGCACGGAAGCCTGTAGAAGTTCAAAAACTTGTGACTTTCCATTGGCTCCTCTTAGCTGTTATCACTCTCAGGTTGAGTCTGACCTTCAGTTTTTTAACCTGTCACCCATTAAAGATAAATCTGCTGACAGTTATAACCAAGAGAAATTTTCCAGTATTATATTCTAAATTGTTTGCCAAATTTTGTATTCTGTTATGGCAAGAGCACAGATTTTAGTTCTCCAAAGACCACCATACTAACATAAGTTATTACTTCCCTTTTTAATCCTGAATTTTGTTTCCCATATTCCCTCTTCAGAGGTGATCTGAGGAACTACTTGGCTTCTCTAGTTTTTCTGTTTTTCTTCCTTTCTATATCCTCCCAAGAGATTTTTTGCCATAGGCTCTCAGACAATGATGAAACACCAACTCTTCATTTAAATCAGCTGATAATGCACAAATAAGGATTCAGCTCTAAGTATCTATTAGCTCAACATTTCAGCAGCACTTCAAATAGATTGCAAAGCAATGTGTTGAGAATGAACTGACACAGCAAGTAATAACCACTCCAAAGAGTACGACAACTAACTACTAAGATTCTATCCTAAAAAAAACCTTGGGAGTCTAATGAATAAGTCAAATTTAATAGTCTATTATAACCATATGGATTCATAAAGATTAGAAAATTAGAGAAGAACACTTGTTAACATTAGTAATCTGACACATAGGTAAAGAATGATTCTGGGGCAGGAAAAAACCAAATACACATACCAAAACCAGAACACCAAACAACTTTTCAAGATTCTGGTTCAGGAGAGTAAAACTCTCACATTTCAGATATGGCTATTGAAGCCCTGAGCAGAGAGAAAGACTGAGAGGTCCTTAATCATTTCAGTTGCTCTGAATTAGTAACACACTATTGTGGCCCCACTC